AATTAAAGCTTTGACGTGCCCGTCCTTGATCGTGCACTAGGTCATGCTTTCCCCCCAGAATCCTGTGCCGAAGGAGCGGAGTCAACGGAGTACTACCACCTCCTCGACGCCTGCCTCCTGACGGCTGAGGAGCCCCTGCTCGGATATGAGCAGCTGTACAGCTGCTGTTGCTGCCCGGGCCTGTGCGGGCCTCAGTTATCAGAGGTCGACCAGTTCCTACAGTCGGGTTCTGGGAGGCGGCGGCTGTCAAGGACATCTGCCTCGAGATGGAGGCGGCCATGAAGCCACCTCAACGACCCCGGCGGAAAAGAGCAGCTGGACCCGACAGCAGCAGCTGCTTGGCTCATCCCGCAAAGCGCCCCTGAGCTGCGGTAAGGGTGACGACGCGGGCACAGAGGGCTTGCTCCTCCTTCGTGGCCGAGGTCTACGAAGTGGAAGCCACCTGACAGTCAACCTCTCATATTATAATGACTTTTGCAGGAGGCCTTCAATCAGCAAGAAGCGCTGCCACGGGGAGAAGATTTTCGTCTGAAAATCTTCTCTCCGTCTTCCCGACCATCTCACCCCCCCACTATCACAATAATCCTCAACCCCCACCATCACTATTCACCCCGCCCTCCACCATCACTATACGAAGTGTATTTGTTGGGGTGTGTGCACCTTCTTCCAACAGTCTGTTCAGAAGGGTGCACAAGGCCCCCCCATGCGAGTGGTGCGTGTGCTGGGCTCCTCTCCGATTCATGCACCACGGAGCACGTGACGTGCCGTGCCGCCAGCCAAATAGCTGCGTTCTTGCAACGCTCAAGATTCCTGAAGAATGACCTCGTACGAGAAAATTGCACAGAAAGACATGGCGAGTGGAGCGAGTGTCGCTGTGTGTGTAGATTCCCGTGTGGGGAGTCGGCAGGGCTGTTGTGTCGCTAGAGTAGCACAAATTTATATTCCCGTGGTTGAGATTTATTTGAAAAAGTCGTGGGTCTCCTCTACGTCCACTCAGACTCAAAACGATTACAGTATGATTCAACGTGTTAAAACATTACCAATGTGGAGACCTCCCCTTGAAAACACCAGCATAGGGGAGACAAAGGTGGCCAGGCGTGGTGTGCCGTGCTGCTCTTCAGCACAGCTCTAGCCCAAGGCTACCAGGGGGATCTTCGTCTCTGCAGCTGTACATGAGGAGCGTGCTTAGTGGCACGCTTCACAACTTTCTTCCTCCGCCCCCGGTTCCCTCCCTTTTTGGCTCCAGATTCTAAGAAGCCTGCGAGGTCCTCCACAGCCGCTTGGGCCGAAGTGGTCGAGGACTACGAGGCGAACCAAGGTACTGAACATCTGTAAAAACGAGCTTTATAGTTCATCGTATTCCTCCAGTATGTAGATTGAGATTCTGATCTGATCAAACCCCGCGCCGTGTAGCCGTAACAGACTTGGGGTAGGTGCTCATCGCGAATAACAATCAACACCACCACTCACTTGCTTCAGTGGGAAACAACTTTGACGTGTATTCTTGGTTCTTTCGGAAAGTCACGTAGAAGTTTAAAAAAAAAAACTTTCTTGTTGTGGTTTTCACACCCGATGATTGCTTGTGTTGTAGTCGAAACGTCGTGATTTTTGTTTCATATTTTTGTTTCCCTTCTACGTGACTTTACCGAAAGAACCATGAATATGAATCCCTGCAGTCACGAAAGCTTTAAATCAAAGCTTTGACGTGCCTGTCCTTGATCGTGCACTAGGTCTCGCTTTCCCTCCAGAATCCTGTGCCGAAGGAGCGGAGTCAACGGAGTACTACCACCTCCTCGACGCCTGTCTCCTGACGGCGGAGGAGCTCCTGCTCGGATATGAGCAGCTGTACAGCTGCTGCTGTCCGGGCCTGTGCGGGCCTCAGTTATCAGAGGTCGACCAGTTCCTACAGTCGGGTTCTGGGAGGCGGCGGCTGTCAAGGACATCTGCCTCGAGATGGAGGCGGCCATGAAGCCACCTCAACGACCCCGGCAGAAAAGAGCAGCTGGACCCAACAGCAGCAGCTGCTTGGCTCATCCCGCAAAGCGCCTCCGAGCTGCGGTGAGGGTGACGACACGGGCACAGAGGGCTTGCTCCTCCTTTGTGGCCGAGGTCTACGAAGTGGAAGCCACCTGACAGTCAACCTCTCATATTATAATGACTTTTGCAGGAGGCCTTCAATCAGCAAGAAGCGCTGCCACGGGGAGAAGATTTTCGTCTGAAAATCTTCTCTCCGCCTCCCCGACCATCTCACCCCCCACTATCACAATAATCCCCAACCCCCACCATCACTATTCACCCAGCCCTCCACCATCACTATACGAAGGGTATTTGTTGGGGTGTGTGTGTGCACCTTCTACCAACAGTCTGTTCAGAAGGATGCACAAGGCCCCCCCATGCGAGTGGTTCGTGTGCTGGGCTCCTCTCCGATTCATGCAGCACGGAGCACGTGACATGCCGTGACGCCAGCCAAATAGCTGCGTTCTTGCAACTCTCAAGATTCCTGAAGAATGACCTCGTACGAGAAAATTGCACAGAAAGACATGGTGAGTGGAGCGAGTGTCGCTGTGTGTGTGTAGATTCCCGCATGGGGAGTCGGCAGGGCTGTTGTTGTGTCGCGAGAGTAGCGCAAATTTATATTCCACAGTGGTTGAGATTCATTTTAAAAAGTCATGGGCCTCCTCTACGTCCACTCAGACTCAAAACGATTACAGTATCTGATTCAACGTGTTAAAACATTACCAATGTGGAGACCTCCCCTTGAAAACACCAACATAGGGGAGACAAAGGTGGCCAGGCGTGGTGTGCCGTGCTGCTCTTCAGCACAGCTCTAGCCCAAGGCTACCAGGGGGATCTTCGTCTCTGCAGCTGTACATGAGGAGCGTGCTTAGTGGCACGCTTCACAACTTTTTTCCTCCGCCCCCGGTTCCCTCCCTTTTCGGCTCCGGATTCTAAGAAGCCTGCGAGGTCCTCCTCCACAGCCGCTTGGGCCAAAGTGGTCGAGGACTACGAGGCGAACCAAGGTACTGAACATCTGTGAAAACGAGCTTTATAGTTCATCGTATTCCTCCAGTATGTAGATTGAGATTCTGATCCGACCAAACCCCGCCCCGTGTAGCCGTAACAGACTTGGGGTAGGTGCTCATCGCGAGTAACAATCAACACCACCACACGCTTGCTTCAGTGGGAAACAACTTTGACGTGTATTCTTGGTTCTTTCGGAAAGTCACGTAGAAGTTTAAAAAAAACTTTCTTGTTGTGGTTTTCACACCTGATGATTGTGTTGCAGTCGAAACGTGGTGATAATCTTTTTGTTTCATATTTTTGTTTCCCTTCTACGTGACTTTACCGAAAGAACCATGAATATGAATCCCTGCAGTCACGAAAGCTTTAAATCAAAGCTTTGACGTGCCTGTCCATGATCGTGCACTAGGTCTCGCTTTCCCTCCAGAATCCTGTGCCGAAGGAGCGGAGTCAACGGAGTACTACCACCTCCTCGATACCTGCCTCCTGACGGCCGAGGAGCCCCTGCTCGGATATGAGCAGCTGTACAGGTGCTGCTGTCCGGGCCTGTGCGGGCCTCAGTTATCAGAGGTCGACCAGTTCCTACAGTCGGGTTCTGGGAGGCGGCGGCTGTCAAGGACATCTGCCTCGAGATGGAGGTGGCCATGAAGCCACCTCAACGACCCCGGCAGAAAAGAGCAGCTGGACCCAACAGCAGCAGCTGCTTGGCTCATCCCGCAAAGCGCCTCCGAGCTGCGGTGAGGGTGACGACACGGGCACAGAGGGCTTGCTCCTCCTTTGCGGCCGAGGTCTACGAAATGGAAGCCACCTGACAGTCAACGTCTCATATTATGACTTTTGCAGGAGGCCTTCAATCAGCAAGAAGCGCTGCCACGGGGAGAAGATTTTCGTCTGAAAATCTTCTCTCCGTCTCCCCGACCATCTCACCCCCCCACTATCACAATAATCCCCAACCCCCACCATCACTATTCACCCCGCCCTCCACCATCACTATACGAAGTGTATTTGTTGGGGTGTGTGCACCTTCTTCCAACAGTCTGTTCAGAAGGGTGCACAAGGCCCCCCCATGCGAGTGGTTCGTGTGCTGGGCTCCTCTCCGATTCATGCAGCACGGAGCACGTGACATGCCGTGACGCCAGCCAAATAGCTGCGTTCTTGCAACGCTCAAGATTCCTGAAGAATGACCTCATACGAGAAAATTGCACAGAAAGACATGGTGAGTGGAGCGAGTGTCGCTGTGTGTGTAGATTCCCGCATGGGGAGTCGGCAGGGCTGTTGTTGTGTCGCGAGAGTAGCGCAAATTTATATTCCACAGTGGTTGAGATTCATTTGAAAAAGTCATGGGCCTCCTCTAAGTCCACTCAGACTCAAAACGATTACAGTATCTGATTCAACGTGTTAAAACATTACCAATGTGGAGACCTCCCCTTGAAAACACCAGCATAGGGGAGACAAAGGTGGCCAGGCGTGGTGTGCCGTGCTGCTCTTCAGCACAGCTCTAGCCCAAGGCTACCAGGGGGATCTTCATCTCTACAGCTGTACATGAGGAGCGTGCTTAGTGGCACGCTTCACAACTTTCTTCCTCCGCCCCCGGTTCCCTCCCTTTTTGGCTCCGGATTCTAAGAAGCCTGCGAGGTCCTCCACAGCCGCTTTGGCCGAAGTGGTCGAGGACTACGAGGCGAACCAAGGTACTGAATATCTGTGAAAACGGGCTTTATAGTTCATCGTATTCCTCCAGTATGTAGATTGAGATTCTGATCCGACCAAACCCCGCCCCGTGTAGCCGTAACAGACTTGGGGTAGGTGCTCATCGCGAGTAACAATCAACACCACCACTCACTTGCTTCAGTGGGAAACAACTTTGACGTGTATTCTTGGTTCTTTCGGGAAAGTCACGTAGAAGTTTAAAAAAAAAACTTTCTTGTTGTGGTTTTCACACCCGATGATTGCTTGTGTTGCAGTCGAAACGTCGTGAGAATTTTTTTGTTTTATATTTTTGTTTCCCTTCTATGTGACTTTACCGAAAGAACCATGAATATGAAGACTCTGCAGTCACGAAAGCTTTAAATTAAAGCTTTGACGTGCCCGTCCTCGATCGTGCACTAGGTCATGCTTTCCCCCCAGAATTCTGTGCCGAAGGAGCGGAGTCAACGGAGTACTACCACCTCCTCGACGCCTGCCTCCTGATGGCCGAGGAGCCCCTGCTCGGATATGAGCAGCTGTACAGCTGCTGCTGCTGCCCGGGCCTGTGCGGGCCTGAATTATCTGAGGTAGAACAGTTCCTAGTCGGGTTCTGGGAGGCGGCTGTCAAGGACATCTGCCTCGAGATGGAGGCGGCCATGAAGCCACCTCAACGACCCCGGCAGAAAAGAGCAGCTGGACCCAACAGCAGCAGCTGCTTGGCTCATCCCGCAAAGCGCCTCCGAGCTGCGGTGAGGGTGACGACACGGGCACAGAGGGCTTGCTCCTCCTTTGTGGCCGAGGTCTACAAAGTGGAAGCCACCTGACAGTCAACCTCTCATATTATAATGACTTTTGCAGGAGGCCTTCAATCAGCAAGAAGCGCTGCCACGGGGAGATTTTCATCTGAAAATCTTCTCTCCGCCTCCCCGACCATTTCACCCCCCACTATCACAATAAGCCCCAACCCCCACCATCACTATTCACCCCGCCCTCCACCATCACTATACGAAGGGTATTTGTTGGGGTGTGTGCGTGCACCTTCTAGCAACAGTCTGTTCAGAAGGATGCACAAGGCCCCCCCATGCGAGTGGTTCGTGTGCTGGGCTCCTCTCCGATTCATGCAGCACGGAGCACGTGACATGCCGTGACGCCAGCCAAATAGCTGCGTTCTTGCAACGCTCAAGATTCCTGAAGAATGACCTCATACGAGAAAATTGCACAGAAAGACATGGTGAGTGGAGCGAGTGTCGCTGTGTGTGTAGATTCCCGCATGGGGAGTCGGCAGGGCTGTTGTTGTGTCGCGAGAGTAGCGCAAATTTATATTCCACAGTGGTTGAGATTCATTTGAAAAAGTCATGGGCCTCCTCTACGTCCACTCAGACTCAAAACGATTACAGTATCTGATTCAACGTGTTAAAACATTACCAATGTGGAGACCTCCCCTTGAAAACACCAACATAGGGGAGACAAAGGTGGCCAGGCGTGGTGTGCCGTGCTGCTCTTCAGCACAGCTCTAGCCCAAGGCTACCAGGGGGATCTTCGTCTCTGCAGCTGTACATGAGGAGCGTGCTTAGTGGCACGCTTCACAACTTTTTTCCTCCGCCCCCGGTTCCCTCCCTTTTCGGCTCCGGATTCTAAGAAGCCTGCGAGGTCCTCCACAGCCGCTTGGGCCGAAGTGGTCGAGGACTACGAGGCGAACCAAGGTACTGAATATCTGTGAAAACGAGCTTTATAGTTCATCGTATTCCTCCAGTATGTAGATTGAGATTCTGATCCGACCAAACCCCGCCCCGTGTAGCCGTAACAGACTTGGGGTAGGTGCTCATCGCGAGTAACAATCAACACCACCACTCACTTGCTTCAGTGGGAAACAACTTTGACGTGTATTCTTGGTTCTTTCGGAAAGTCACGTAGAAGTAAAAAAAAACTTTCTTGTTGTGGTTTTCACACCTGATGATTGCTTGTGTCGCAGTCGAAACGTCGTGATAATTTTTTTGTTTCATATTTTTGTTTCCCTTCTACATGACTTTACCGAAATAACCATGAATATGAATCCCTGCAGTCACGAAAGCTTTAAATCAAAGCTTTGACGTGCCCGTCCTTGATCGTGCACTAGGTCTCGCTTTCCCTCCAGAATCCTGTGCCGAAGGAGCGGAGTCAACGGAGTACTACCACCTCCTCGACGCCTGTCTCCTGACGGCCGAGGAGCCCCTGCTCGGACATGAGCAGCTGTACAGCTGCTGCTGTCCGGGCCTGTGCGGGCCTCAGTTATCAGAGGTCGACCAGTTCCTACAGTCGGGTTCTGGGAGGCGGCGGCTGTCAAGGACATCTGCCTCGAGATGGAGGCGGCCATGAAGCCACCTCAACGACCCCGGCGGAAAAGAGCAGCTGGACCCGACAGCAGCAGCTGCTTGGCTCATCCCGCAAAGCGCTCCCGAGCTGCAGTGAGGGTGACGACGCGGGCACAGAGGGCTTGCTCCTCCTTCGTGGCCGAGGTCTACGAAGTGGAAGCCACCTGACAGTCAACCTCTCATATTATGACTTTTGCAGGAGGCCTTCAATCAGCAAGAAGCACTGCCACGGGGAGAAGATTTTCGTCTGAAAATCTTCTCTCCGCTTCCCCTCCATCCTGCCCGACCATCTCACCCCTCACTATCACAAGAAGCCCCAACCCCCACCATCACTATTCGCCCCATCCCCCAATATCACCATCCGCCCCATCCCCCACCATCTCCATCCGCCCCAAACCCCACCATCACCGTCAACCCCATCCCTACCATCACTATCTGCCCCACTCCCACCATCACTATTCAACCCACCTTCCAAAATCACTATCCGCATCACCCTGTACCATCACTGTACTCCTCACCCCGCACCATGACGATGCCCCCCCATCCACAAACATGACGATGCCCCCCATTCGCATCACCCCCCACCTTCACCATTCGCCCCACCCATTACCATTACGAGCCGCCTCACCCCTCACCTTCACTATCCGCCCACCCCTCACCATCACTATCCAATCCACCCTCCACCATGACAATCCGCCACACCCCCTTACAATCACTGACTGTTAATATGTCGTGGACTTGTGTACACTCTCTGATCCGTGTGTTCCTTGTCTTGCGGTCTCTCAGTACAATGGCAAGCGCGCATCGCTCTTTCTCTCTCTGCATCACCCCAAACCTTTTCGTTCAGAGCAGCCCCTACAGGCACACTGCTGCAAGTGCAGCCAGTGGATTGCTGGACCACTCGTGTTGGGTATTCTCTGGATTGCAAGACACACTGCCCCCCCACCGCCCATGTTAAAGCAAATATTGGGGGTGCGTCTTATAATGTAGTGTGTGTTTGAGTGGAGTTTGCATGTTCACATTAGCACTGGTGAGACAAAGGTGGCCAGGCGTTGTGCTGGCCACCCACCCATGTGCCGTGCCATCCTTCACAGATGCTCGTTGACATAACTCAGAACTTGCCTCAAGTCTGTTAAGGCTGCCAGCAGCGTTCTAGATAATAAGAGTGAGAAAGTAAGCCATGGCTATGTACAAAACACGTGTACAATAAACGCTGACCACGGTTCAAAGGGATTTCTTGCAAAGTGCTACAACGCAGCGGGAATTGCCGCTCTATGAAAATACAAGTCGCTACGAGTACTAGTGGCGGTTGTTGGCTGCGGCACATCGGATCGTCAGTGCCCGCCCGCATAAAAAGGTTCCGCTAACACATTGGTGCGTCCTCACCCGGCTCAAGACCGATTCGAGCAGCAGAGAAACGACAGCACGCCTACGCACGTGACAGCTGAAGGAGCAAGTACCTGGCACAAGTACATGTGTCGTAAGTGCCTGACGCCAAGAGGGCCCCTTTAAGACATCGCAGAGATGTTGTTGTTAGTTCGTGGTCGTCAAACACTTTGAGCAAATTATTTAAAGGCAGGTATCTCTTTGAACTAAACACCATTTGTGCCCTCAATTGACTCAAGTCGCACAATTGCAATTGGGCAGTTTCCACAATTTTCGGCCGCACATTTCAGGCACATTTTTTTAAAATGTGTGTGCAATCATTGGGCAGAGTGCACGAACCAATACAGGGCAGCAATTCGCGACAAATTGGCGCATCCACCGTTCGTCTTCATGGTCACGAGTAGCAAAGTGTCGGACAAACTCAGGGGCAACTGGCCTTCCTATCCACCCCAGGATGGTTGCTGATGGTGCTGAACAGTTGTGTAGAATGTCAAACCCATTGACTTATACCATGACCCATATATAAAAAACTAAATATATAATAAACGCCAAAATGATGCCCCGTGTATTCGGATGAAGTTACATTTGTGCAACTGCCCAAAACGTCATCATACGTCCAGCGGCGCATTGACAACGGCTGAAAAGTTTTAATGACCTGGCAAAAAAAACGTTTCTATAGTTTGTTACATTCGTTATGACAAATTGATCTCTATCTCTTGTCAAACTGCACCAGAGTGCCTTTGCCAGCAACACCTGAACCAGAGCTGCATTGGCATGCATTTCACACACTGCAACAAGTGTATTTCCCAACATCATAATTGTGTAGGGTAGTGGGTGACGTCATGTCACGCTCGCCCTCGGAGAGAGTGGCGTCGCAGAACGTGACGTCAGGTGGACCCTGGGGGGACGGTGACGCCATGCCCCAGGGGGGTATTTAAAGGGGGCCCCGGGATGTAAACGGGGGTCGTCGGGGGTAGGAGTGGGGACTCAGGGGAGTTGATCCTCACCCGAGGCTAGGGGAGGCTACTTCACCCGACCAGCCGAGGTTGGGGTAGTCTCGGCCCGGGGTAGTCTCGGCCCGGGGCAGGGAGGAGAGCCGAGTTAGCCGGGGTTGTAGGGATCACGGTACCCTGTCCCCTGGGGAGTTATCGGCTAGGGGGGTGGTTCGACGTAAGCCCTTAATAAACGTGGCGTGAGCACCTAACCGCAACCTGCTTCGGAGTCGTTGATTGTGCCGCAACTGGTGTCAGGAGTGGGGTTATAGTGGGCGCACGTGTATCCCCGTTGTAATGATTGCAGCCTGGTCGGCTGTTTTTTTTCATGGGGGGGGGGGGGGTTAGGGGAGTAGTGGGTGACGTTACGTCACGCTCGCCCTCGGAGAGAGTGGCGTCGCAGAACGTGACGTCAGGCAGACCCTGGGGGGACGGTGACGCCATGCCCCAGGGGGGTATTTAAAGGGGGACCCGGGATGTAACCGGGGATCGTCGGGGGTAGGAGTGGAGACTCAGGGGAATTGCATGTTCACCAGCTCACTCCTTGTTTAAAAAATGTTGCTTTGAAGGTTTGGCTCTCAGAATAACTCTTCCAAATCATCAACAGATATTGGTAGTGTGCTGCTATAGACCGCCTAGTGGGAAGGATGTTGAAGCTGCATCTGCACTGAGAGATTTTTTGGGGGCCTTCCTAAAGGTGAAAGTTTTAGTGGGTGATCTAAATTGGAATTGGCTAAACCCGACGGCCGTGGCCACAAATTTTACAGATGAATTTAACCTGTTTCAATTAATAAATGTCCCCACAAGACCCAACCTAAAAAATCCGGGACAGTCATCTCTGCTTGACGTCCTATTGACAAATGCCCCTCACAATTTCACACTGACTGGTGTTCTGGGTAATAACCTTAGTGATCACTCCTTCATTTTTGGTGTGAGATCATCAGCCAGACCCAAAGCTCCCCCTAAATTGGTTGAGAAGCACTCTATGAGACACTTCAGCACTCAGGCATTTACTAATGATGTGCTTCACTCGGATATTGGCAAGGTCTGTGATATCCCCAACCTGACTAAGGCTTGGGAGACCTTCAGGTACACGTTTCTCCAAATTCTTAACAAACATGCTCCGTTGGTTAGATTTAAAACTAAAGGCAACCGCCCACCATGGTTTGATCCTTTGATTACAAAGCTCATGAAAACTAGGGACAAGGCTTGGGCATGTGCTCAAAAATAATTTGGTCAATGACTGGCTAGAATACAGGATTTTAAGGAATAGATGCGTCAAAAAAAATACGGCATGCAAAAAATGCCTATTTTTTCTCCACTCTCCTGGAATCACATGGAAAAGCCAGGATTTTCTGGAAAACAATCAAATGTATCGAAAAGGCATCCAAAACAGACAATCTGCCCGTTGAGCTTAACCGAAATGGGGAATATTTTTCAGATCCCATAAAAATAGTTGACAATTTTAACCTTCATTTTTCTGAAGCTGGTAATCTTTTTGATAATGTATTGGGAGTCACCCCTGCTCATGCAAATTCCTACACCCCTGTCCAAACATTAAACGAATTTAGTTTCCAGCCAATTCAAGAAAGTAATGTTCTGAAACTGTCCTACTTCAAAGGGTCCTCCTCTACCGGAGAAGATAGTATTCCCGTCTTTGCTCTACTAACTGTTGGTCACCTAATATACAAACCTATAGCCCATATTTTCAACCTGTCCATCAAAGAAGCATCAGTTCCTCTAGAATGGAAACATTCCTATGTCCGTCCACTTCACAAAGGGGGCCCTAAAGATGATCCAAATAACTACCGACCTATCTCAATTGTCCCCGCTGATGAAAATTTTTGAAAAATTATTGACCTACCAAATTAGCAGTTTCCTGTCCACCAACAATCTACTACATCTAAAACAATCTGGGTTCCGGAAAACATACAGCACCACATCTGCTGCATTAGACTCTCTGAATCACATTTACAGTAGCCTTGATAATAAGCAGTACTGTCCCTGTCTTTTTCTAGACCTGTCCAAAGATTTTGATACAGTAGACCACAACACCCTAAGTAAACTAAGTTGCCTCGGTTTTTCCGAAAACGCAGTAAAATGGTTACAAAATTACCTCTTTTCTCGCACCCAAACTGTATTCACGGATGGTTGGAGGTCAAACAGTGTTAAGATAACAAAAGGGGTTCCACAGGGTTCCATCCTCGGCCCCCTTTTGTTCTCTCTTTATGTCAATGACTTGGGCACTGACCTGGATCATTCCAGGGTAAATCTTTTTGCAGATGATACAATACTGATTACTGCTGGCCGCTCTCCGGATGACGTGATTGCTAAGCTACAGGGTGATTTCAACAAACTACAACATTAGCTAGTGGCTCTTAAACTAGTCCTGAATACCTCCAAAACCAAGGTGCTATGCTTCTCACCAGGACTAAAGCAGGAAGTAATTTTTCCACAATTACATTCCTTAAATAATTGTAAAATAGAGCAAGTCAAGATCTATAAGTATCTTGGGGTCATCCTGGATTCAAAACTGAATTTGAAGATCACATTGATTATATTGGTAAAAAGACAAAAATAAAAATTGGTTTTCTGTGTCGACACAAGCACTGCTTCCCCCCAATGTTCCGTTTGGAATTGATAAAAGCTACCATACTGCCTCTATTTGACTACTGTGACATCGTGTATAAATCAGCCCCAAGTACTGTACTGAAGAAGCTTGATTCCATCTATCACTCGGCCTTAAGATTTACATTGAACTACCCATATAGGGCTCACCACTGTGATCTCTACATTGGGTCAAACTTAACATCTCTTAATGTTCGACGGCTTGTGCACCAGGTCTTATTTATTCACGATGTACTTACAAAAAAATCCGCAGACTACCTGGTGGATCTCCTGTTTCAAAGAACAAATTTTACCTCAGGTCTTCGCTCATTTACCAGCTTCACATTCCCTATTGCCGTACAAAAACTGAAGGGCCTTTGCTATTGATGCCCCCAGAGTCTGGAACGCTATTGCCAATAAACTGCAACTTGAATCGCTACCAATGAGATCTTCTCTCAAAACTGCTCTAGAGGAGTTCTACACCCCTAGCTGCCACTGCTATTCATTGGCGTAAAATAAAATGTTTCGCTCCGGATGACGCTGCAAAGTATTATCTGTATTTTGATTTAGCGTGCTGATCTTAAAGGTGCATTGAAAAATTTGATACTCCGACCGATGCTTCTGTTGTTGTGGAGTAACTCATGCAGCCAGCTATGGCTCTAGGGTTTGGTGTTACATGTTATTTATGTAGTTTATTGTAAAAATTCGGTCAGTCCTGTGATCACTGTTACGTTGCAATTATGGCTTTATTTTTTGGTGATTTGGAAAAGTTTTTTGGTTTGGACATGTTTGTTTTGTTGTAGTACAGAGTTAGACTGATAGCCTTTATCTAAGTTTTTGTGGTTGTTGTTTGACTTGCATCCCACTGGGATTCTTTGCACACAGCGTTGGTGTACGGTGCTTTTTTCAGGAATATTTTTGCTATGTTTTTCATGGATTTTCTGTTTGCAGTCACATAGTCACTTTAAGATGTTTTTCTTGTTCGTGTTTTTTTGTTTGTTGTGGTTGCACCCAATTCAAGAGCCGGATGGCTCACAGGACTATACCAAAATAAACTGAACTGAACTGAGGCTAGAGGAGGCTACTACGCCCGACCGGCCAAGGTTGGGGTAGTCCCGGCCCGGGGCAGGGAGAGCCGAGTTAGCCGGGGTTGTAGGGATCACGGTACCCTGTCCCCTGGGGAGTTATCGGCTAGGAGGGTGGTTCGGCATAAGCCCTTAACACACTTGGCGGAAGCCCTTAATAAACTTGGCGTGAGCCCCTAACCGCAACCTGCTTCGGAACTGAAAACTTCAAAGCACTATGAGACCGCCAATTTAATACACGTTATGCATTCAAATGAGCGCTATGCCAGATTGTACATCGATAGTTAGCGTCACTCGTGGCCTATCTTTAAGCCCCAATGGGTTTCTGGAAAATTGTTAAGTTATTGATTTGCAGCTTTCGTGACTGCAGGAATCCATACTCTTTGGTTATTTTGGTAAAGTTACGCGACTTTTAATAATAGGGTTTTTCCCCTTTTTCTGGCAACAAAACTGAAACCTTTTTACAAGGATTCATGTCTGCATTAACCACAATACCTGCAGTCAAAATGCAAACAAAAAACATACTATATGCATTGTCCTTGAAACTGATTAGTTCACACTAAGGGACGGCTTTCTCATTACTTTGATAGTGCATTGTCTTTGAGCTTCAGTTTTACGGACAATGCATATATTATCATAGTATGTTTTTTGTTTGCATTTTGACTGCAGGTATTGTGGTTAATGCAGACATGAATTCTTGTAAAAAGGTTTCAGTTTTGTTTCCAGAAAAAAGGGGAAAAAACCCTATTATTACATTTTGGTACTGGCAAAGGAGGTCTAATGATGTAGATGCTCACCCCGAGCCCTCATTACTTTGATAGTGCATTGTCTTTGAGCTGTACACCTTCTGGCATAATCTGTTCGAGCACCAATTGGGTCGAGGCTCAAAAGAAAGCCGTCCCTTGGTGTGGACCAATCAGTTTCAAGGACAATGCATATATTATCATAGTATGTTTTTTGTTTGTATTTTGACTGCAGGTATTGTGGTTAATGCACACGAATCCTTGTAAAAAGGTTTCAGTTTTGTTACCAGAAAAAGGGGAAAACCCTATTATTACATTTTGGTACTGGCAAAGGAGGTATAATGATTACGTGACTTTACCGAAAGAACCAAAGAGTATTGTTAAGTTAGTTACACATTCGCAAAAGAGCAAACGGGAAAGGAGAATTTGTACGTAACGAGGGGGGACAAAATGAAGGACTAAAGATTAGGGCATTAAAACCAGGACAATGGATGTGGTGTACAAAGTCTAAACTGAAGTGGAGTAGGAGAGGACGTCCAACCGAGAGCAAAGACGTCAGATGGGCAAGAACCACAACGGAAAAGGGGGACCACATTCAATTTTGCGTAGTATTTGGCTACTATAAATTTACACACGACGATAAGCCACTTCGTTGAGCTATCATTTGTGGTAACCAGGTCGCTTCTGAAAAAACAGCTATACAGCTCAGTGGGCCTTACTTGAACAAAATAGTTTAGTTTAACAGTTTAGATTTTGGAGAAGCGCGCCGGATGCAAGTGGCAAGAGGTCGTGGCGAGTGGGACACATTGGAGGGGTGGGGGGCGGTGGGGGACTTTGCTCGACGGTGAAGGCAGGCATTGCATTTTTTATGAGAGAATTAAGTATTTACTAGTTATGCTGCAAGCTCTTTTGACAACAGCTATTAAACATTACGAATTTACTGTCATATGCGTTTATATAATTGTGTGCGTCCTTACATATTCTCCAGAGTGGTGTAGAGGATTGTGCATTGCACCGCAACCCCAGGTGACCTGTCTTGGGCCTTCGCTTAGGCCCACTCAGCCTTAAATGAGTACATGGTGTGGGGCTGATTTAAGTTATACAGATAGTCCCCGAGTTACGATGGTCCGACTTACGATATTTCGATCTTACAATGGCGATACGACAAAATTGAAAAATATTTTAAATTTCGAACGGCAGGCAAACGCAGCAGCGTACGAGGTACGATACTGTACGTTGATACGTAGCCTTAGCGATTTCATTTTAGGGTTACCACGATACGATACGTTCAATGCATGTTAAAAGTTTCATAGCAGATGGTTTTTTGACTTACAATGGGGTCGTCGTAACGCATCTCCATTGTAAGTAGAGGACTACCTGTATATATATATATAAACATGTCTCTAATTAAAATCTGGATAGCCAATAAGAGTTCCAGTTAAAGGGCAAAGTGAAACAAAGACGGATTTTTTGTTTTATCCCAGTTACCCAACCGCTCCTCTTATCCGTGACACCACGAGTGTCCAAGGAAGGGTAGAGCTGGTGAGGCTTTGTTTCCATTGCATCTAGGAAGGAGTCCCCGCTGGCCCGTGCCACATAACGTGTCTGTTGGAAATAATTAACAAGAGAGCGCCCTTTTCCTGAATTTAAGACAAATCCATAAGAGGTTGTTTTGGGTTAGATCGCGTAAATATATAAATGTCTTTAAACCCACCACCACCCGACACATGGATGAGAATTGGTCGCGAAAGCCTACGTGTTAAACTTAAGCCAAATCGTTTTGACGAATAAGGGGATGGATCTTTTTTTCTTTTTCATTTCTGCTCACGGGCAACAACTTCATTCGCAAGTCCGGAGGAACCACGCTACGTGGTCGGGTTAGCTGGCAGACATCCACTCACAGTGGCCGTTGCAGACATCGAGTCCAGCACCCCGCCAACTCCTTCGGTGTGAATATGGCCTTCCCCCCCCCCGCCGCCGAGCGATGCGGGTTTCTCAACTGTAGTAGCGTTCGTGGTCTTGGCACGCGTCACCACAATGACCGCACAAAACAAAAGAGCCATCGCTTTATATACCTGGCTTGTCACCTGTAATTCGGTGCACGCTGTAAGCCTCGGCAGGAATAGCACGGCCAAGGGTACACGCAGACCCAGGTGTGTGTCCGTCAGGGCTGCTTGTAGGCAACGTGCAACTGCAAGCGAGCAGGTGGACCGGAAGAAGATGCGGTGACATTTCCCTCCATAAATGGAACATCAGTGGGCTCCATCAGGCGAGCGAGTGACGACCGCCAAACGCAAAGCACATTCTGGTGGAACAAATTGGACTCCACTCATCTACCCATAGGACAGCCTGACAATATTAAAATAACAAGTGTAGCCTGTTGCTTTTTTCGAACGCCATATGAAATAAGAGGACCGCAGAGAATAACTGGAAATCGACGAGGCGTGCTGCCGGTTCACCCACGCGACGATGCGGTGAACAGTCGCGACTCCATTCAAGAAGCTATTCTGGCTCGGTTCGTTTTCATCGCCGATCGTGTCGTTTCTCGTCGCATCTGCCTCGTTTGTGTATATTGCTTCGTGTGCGCCATTAGTATAAAAGCAATGAATGCAAAATTTGGATAAATTGTACACAGTCTATTCTTACACGCAGTCTATTCTTGCACGGTCTATTCTTACACAGAACAAAGCGATCGCTAGTCGACGACTCTGTGCGTCAATTGCCGTCTAATGGAAACTACCTGCACGCTCGGTGGGATTCATTAAAGTACGCTACAATTCTACACGTGCGGTAACGGCGCGCCTTTGAAAAGCTGCTGACCAAGGGAGGCTAGCGGGGGGGAGGGGGTGGGGGCGGAGGATACTGCCCGTACTGCCCACCTCTGATCCCCTCTGACAACCCATTTAATCGCTGCCCAGGGTCAACTTGTCAAAGAGGAACTCTCCCATGCCGGACTGAGGCACGCCCATCTTCTTGAGGCTCGTGATGTGGTCGGCGATGTTCTTGATGGACTCCACCTGCTCCTCCAGGTAGTGGGAGTCCAGGAAGTCGCACAGCTGTGGGGTGGGGGAAAACGGAGGACGCGTCGATGAGGCGGTCAGCACTCGGCACGTACGGCACGGGCCGTGATCTCGGTCGTGGCTCGGATCCGGCCCGACCTCCGAGGCGGCTCAGCTCAGGTGTGTCAGACAGCTCTGCTGCTTCCGAAGAACGCGCGGGCGAGTGAGCCGCCAGGCCGGGGCTTGGCTCAGGCTAGACTCATGGAAAATACCGAGCACGGCTGGAGCCATGCTCGGGAGCCCGGCGCGAGTTAAGCACGGCACTGAGCCTCCTCACTTGAGCCGGAGCCTAAGCCTGAGGCGGGACCGCGGCTAAGAATATGGGCATTACAGTGATTCGCCCTTTCACGTTTCATGGTGTGCATGTGGAATACGACGATGATGCTCTCCTTCTGTGGTCCTCTGATGGTCAGGAGGGGCAATGCAGGTTTTGTTTTATCAGGCCACAAAGACTTTTGGGCCACACAAAAACGAAGACAAAGATCCCCCGAATAACCTTAACAGACTGTTGGGGCAAGTGCTGTTAGCGAGTAGCACTTATGAAGGCCGGCACGGCACACAAGGGGGTGGGTGGCTAGCACCACGCCCGACCGCCTTGTCTCCCTAGTAGCGATGTTTGCACACCGCATTAGGTACTCATTTGAGGCTGAGTCGACCTAGGGGGAGGCCTATGACCAGTTCAGATAATCGCCACTGATGTTGGTTGTGAGCGGAAATCGAACTCAGTTCTCTGGATTCGTAGTGCAGTGAGCTAACTGCTACCCGACCACTCCAATCCAAACATACACACACGCGATGATGTATGTGCTGCTGCCATCTAGTGGCAACTTCCAGAAGAGAAACATTTCACAATGAAAAATCAGGGTCTCGCCCCAATCAAATTTTGCAGAACTGTGCGAGACGGCGATGATTTGGTGAGGCCTTCATCCAGCAGTGGATTGATCATAACCGAAGATTGATGACAGTGAACCAACTGTGTACTGCACAAGACCAGGGTCATGAGACAGTGTGTGAGTGAGGGGGAACCCGAGCATGAGTGGCCGTGCGGATCTCTGAAGGAGGGTGGAGGGGCTGTTGGGAGGCATCCAGAGACGGCGTGCCAGCCAGTGGGTGTGCGAGTGGGCGAGTGAGGGGTGTATGGGTTTGAGTGAGCGAGTGAGTGAGCGAGCGAGCGAGCGAGGGGTGTATGGGTTTAAGTGAGTACTTGAGGGTCGTTGTGCTCGGTGGCGAGGGCGTGCAGCTCCAGCAGGGCCTGGTTCACGTTCTTCTCCAGCTGCAGCGCCAGCGTCAACGCCTCCAGAGCGTTACCCCACTCGTCCCGCTCCGGCTTCTGTGAGCACACAGAGATAACATAACACACGAGATGTACAGATACACACAGAGGTACGCACAGATATGCAGGCGAGAAATATCCGTAACCCGAATTTTCCGTATGTCGGAAACTGAACAATTTCCCCCCAAAATCAAGATAACATCCCATATCCGGAAACAGTTCTACCTCCCCTACCGTCTTCTCTCAGTACTGTATCGCGCTATTTTCTGTTTTCTATCGCGACCTGTATCGTATCGCTGTACATACGCTCTGCACTTTTTAAGATACTTTCATTTGAACAAATATCTATCCTAACACTACTCATTAACACTATTAAACTAATGGTACATATACAGTATCCAATTGCTGATTTAAATATTATTTTTTTTACAGAAAGCAGTCACTTCCGAATGTTTACCATGCATTTGGCTCGGCCTAGACTTCACATACATACATACATACACACAAATACCAAGGTGGAGTTGGCTCGTCTACACACAACAACAACCGGCATTCGCCACTAAGTGGCAGTGACGTCATCACGACGCTTGTGCCAGGCTATGTGCACCTTGAGGCCAAGTGAAGTGTCGAACGCCCGCTGGCAGGAGGTCACGGGGCAGACCCAGGTGCCACGGGTCGACTGAGATGAGTGGCTGATGCACCACCTGTGCCCCCTACTGTGCCAACTTTCTGTGCTTTAGCCACCCGGAGATCCGCTCGTTGTTGTGAGCGTCGCTCCTCCGCCCTCCGTTGTTGTTGGAGGGCGACTGCCTCCAATTGCCCAATAGCGTCCTTAACGAGCCTCTTCCATAGAGGCCGATATTGACACCGCTGGTACCAGTCATCGAAAAGTCAACTCAGCACCACATCCTCCCGTAGCGCATCAGTCCATCTCTTCTCTAGCTCATGTTGTGCCCATTTAGCCCCCTCTATGAGGCCAAACGGAAGCTGCTTGGGCATGCAGTGGTTAGGCATGCGGGCTACGTGACCCAGCCAACGCAGCCTTGCCTGCCAGAGGAGCTCATTGATGGCAATGTGTCCAGATCCATCCTGGTTAAACCCAGGATGGATCGTAGGCGCAGATGTTCCATTAGAGGGGTCCAAGTTTCACAAACATAGAGAAGGGAGGGCATGACTATGGCCAAGAAGACCCGAAGCTTCGAGTGGAACGACAGACTGGGTAGCTTCCACACAGCATTGCTCAGGCGATGAAAATATAATACCGCCCGACTGATTCGGAGTGAGACCATGTATGGGAAACTCTTCACTCTCTCCACAACTGCTCCATCACCTATGGAGAACTGAGGGGTGGAGTGTTTGGTGGCACAAAATACCCAGGCAGGTGCTTAGTTTTGGTGGGGCCGATGGTAAGACTCCACCTCTTAGTGGCACACTCCAGGTTCAGCAGCAACGCCTCTAACTCCTCCTCTGAGTGTGCAGAAATTACCATATACATACAAAGATCCCCCATATAGCCTGCACAGACTGTTGGGGCAGGTACTGTGAGCGAACACCTATGAAGGTCGGCACGGGTGGCCAGCACCACGCCCGTCCGCCTTTGCCTCCTTAGTGGCGATGTTTACCCACCACACCAGGTACTCATTTGAGGCCGAGTCGACCTAGGGGAGGCCCGTGACCGGTTTAGATAATCGTCACTGGTATTGGCCATGAGCGGGAAACGAATTTTGGTCGCCGGGTTTATAGCGCAGCGCGCTAACCACTACACTCCCACTCCCAACATACATACAAAGACACACACACCTGTACACACACGCGCACACACATACAAACACATACAAACACACACAGTACATACTTTGCAGAAAAGAATTACGTAACGCTACAATTATATTTACCTTAATCCTAGTGAAGCTCGGCTCAGTGAAGGCAGCGTAAGGCTATGCCTTGTATAAGGCGGCCCGCCTCAGCGCTCACTCCGTGGTATTCATCCGCAACCTCACCGCGCTGCACTATTTGCGCTTAAGTAACTAATGCAAACATTTCCGCATATAGATGGTTTTTTTTTGCATGATTTATGGGAGCATTTCCGTAAAGTCGGATTTCCGCAAGACGGGTCTTCCGTAACTCGGGGACTGCCTGTAGGTCCTGTTGAAATTCGCTACACCGGTGCTGTAGCAGACACACAGAGAATATGGCATTTGTGCTGTTTTGAAACCACATTGGCACTCCACAAGCCTCGACATGCCTGGCAAGGGGGCAAGTTGTTGAATAATTATACTTATATAATTATCCTTGCTAAGCGATGTCCCAGCCTCACATGAAGAAGGGAGATGCCCAATACTTGTTTAAATTAGTGTGGGGGATCCTTCCAATCTTGTGAAATCTGTCCTGTGGACTAGACGGTTGTGCAATCACCACCCTCCCTCAAGTGGTTCAATTGAGAGGTCATCCCTGCCTGCCACTTTACCTGGTTGCAGGCTCCTGATCGCCCTTCATACCTCCTCAACAGGTACAACCTCAGGCAGCCACTCACAAATATTTTAGGCACGACAAACCCCAGCAGAGTTTACCTCCCTCCTCAAGAACGCACAGAAATGCTCAGCAAGCCTGCAACTTGTCCCTGGGGGTCAAACGATCGGATCACCATTCTTTCCCCCAAGGTTGGTAATTGATGTGGCGCTAAAAGTAAAATTTTTGATAGAATAAAATAGCGATTAGGGACCGCGCTACCGAGATAGTTCCCATCTCTTACAGCATGACACCCAATCATCCTGATCAGGCGTATGTGACAGCACAGAGATCCACACAAGAGATACACAGAGATGCATTCACAGCTACAGATCGTGCAGCTACACACACAGATACAAAGATCCCCCATATAGTCTTTAACAGACTGTTGGGGCAAGTGCTGTTAGCGAGCACCGATGAAGGCCGGCACGGCACACAAGGTGTTTGGGTGGCCAACATCACACTCGGCCGCCTCTGTCTCCCTAGTGGCGATGTTTACACACCGCACAAGTACTCATTTGAGGCTGAGTCGACCTAGGGGAGGCCCCCAAGACCAGTTCAGATAATCGTCACTGGTGTTGGCCGTGAGCGGGAATTGAACTTGGGCCGCTGGGTTCACAGCGTGCTACTCTGCTACCCTACCGCTGCTCCCCGTGCCAGCTTACACACAGAGTTACACACATACCCACACAGCCCAGATTTTGCTTTTAAATACAGGGGGGGAAATTACTGTGGATTACAATCCACAGAATACGGTGGACGCGAAATCACGTAACTGCCATTTGCAGTACTCTCAACTCTCGTGCCTGCTTACTCAGCGGTCGCTACAATCTGGCCTCCTGGCAACATCAATCTTAAGACGCCACGCTTCCCCCAGGTAAGGACCACCGAGCTGTACAGCTCTTTTTCAGAAGCGACCTGGCCACAAACGATAGCCCAATGAAGTAGCTTATCATGTGGAAATTGACATCAGTAAAATACTCTAAATGTGGAGGGAAAAACCAGAGGACCCGGAGAAAAATCCACGCAAGCAGGAGAACATGCAAACGACAAAAATACACAGGCGTCAGGGTCGAGACCTAACTCACGACCTCCTGTATACCGGGCGAGGAATTTAACATCTCGCCACTGCGGCAGTGATGGCGGTGGGGGGGGGATTTCACCTGCACATCCTGCAGGAAGATGCGTCCTCCGCGTCTGTTCTGGTAGCCCATGAGCTTCTCGGCGTGGCCGCGCTCCTCCAGGGACTGCTCGCGGAAGAACTTGGACAGGTGCTTCAGCGCCACGTCATCACGGTCAAAGTAGAAGGCCTACGCACCCGCATAAGGGGGCAGGATGACGATGGTGATGAGGTGGGGGCAGAGGAGAGGAGGGAGAGGAGCCACCCCACATATTCCATTACCCCAGGTAATCGACAACTGCCAGCAGATCCTCATGGGGCAAGCCACGATTCACTGTCCATGCCAGAGTGATGTGTCAAGGCGACGAGATTCGATTTAAGAATCGAGTCTTTTTCATCTAATTTTTGCCGCCTCATTTGTGCTGATTTTTCGTTTGTTCTGTTTGAAAACGACTTGCAAATTTACTCAATTGGGCAATCGCACAAAAATACTTCGCAGGACACCCCCTCTCCCCTCTTGAAAAAGTCTTGAGACTCAGCGAGGCTTTTCTGGGCAAACGAGAAAAATGAAAACATCAAAATAAATAATATGCATCATCCTAGGAAACAGGTAACCCGAGTTTACTTATAGAACTGGCCGATATCTGCAACAGCTACAGCTTCTCCCCCCCCAGTCCCTATCATTGCATGAAGGTTAATACAAATCTCCAAGACCGACACAAGGTGGCAAGGCCTTCGTTACTAATACTTTTATTTTACCAGGTAAGGCCCACTAAGCTTCATAGCTCTTTTTTTAAGAAGCGACCTGGCCACAATTGATAGGTCAGCGAAGTGACTTATGACGTGGACATTTATAGCAGCCAAGCACTCTAAACGCACGTTTCTAAATGAGAGAAAAAACGGAGGACCTGGAGAAAAATCCACGTGACCATGGGGAGAGACACACAGACTCCAAATATATAGGCGTCAGGGTTGGGATCAAACCGACGACCTCCTGTATACCAGGCGAGGTATTTAACATCGCGCCACCATGTTGATGACCCAGGCAAGCCTTGCTGAGTCAAACGACTCTCTTTCAGTAGAGTCCTGCCAAGTATTTTGCAGTAGGGCGCCGATGCTGTTGCTGTGTGATTCCAATTGCGTAATCTGCAGGTAATGTTTCAGCAATTAAATGCTTTGCCCAATACCAGTTACATTGTATGTCTGTTTAATCATATGCGAGGAAACCAGAAAGCCCAGAGTAAACCTATGCAGAACAGGGGGAAACCATAAAACGCTACACAGCAATACACCCGAGTGGGGAATCGAGCCCAGGCACTTCTTACTGTGAGGCATGAGCATTACCACTGCAACACCCTGCTGCCAGCAGTAGACAATGGTCCACGATGGTAATCCTATACCGAATAAAAACGTACCATTCATTGAAGAATGTGAGAATATCAACATTCCATGCCAACCTCTCCAGCACCTCTATAAACTCTCACAAATTTGGTGACAAATTGACACTAGAATGATGACAGCCGTGAACTCTTCTCCACCTATGAAAAATAATAGGTTGTACCCTTTCTGGCAATAAAACAGTTTGTGTTAAGATGTTCAAACACCAAATAGAAACCTTTTACAAGGAATCATGTCTGCATTCACCACACGCACTTGTGGTGAACATGCAAACAAGTACGTGTGGTTAATGCAGACTTGATTCCTCGCAAAAGGTACCTCTTTGATATAGAACATCTTAACACCTCCTGTTGCACTGCCAGAAAGGGTAAAAAACCTATTCTTATTTTTCATACAGTGAGGCTGGCAAAAAAGGTCCCGTTAACTTCTTAACCTATTTAATTCCACGGTTCTCACACCCTCGAACTCGCTAGATATTCGCGGCACACCGTTTGCCCAAATGAGCATGCAGAAGGGTGAGTTGTGAGGGCCGGTGGTGGGGGCTGATGGTCGTCTGCTGCCGCACTGCGCCGCGACCAATGGAGAGTGGAAGGGAGGCGCATGGGTGGGGGCTGGATCGGCCACTGAACAGCACGGTGAGTTCGTCTGTTCCAAATTGCAAAATAGTGACGTTCTTTCCTGTAAAACGCTAACATGTTTACAGGTGGAGATACGGAATGGAGTTCTGACACACAGGTTTTCTTACATGAAGCATCTCCGGCGTGGAAAATAAGACTGAAACATGATTTCTCCACGTTTTATTTACATGACAAACCTAATTGGCTATGGTTGTCTGGTGGCGGGTTTAACGAAACATTTATATGCACGCGATCTAACAAAAAACCCCCTCTATCATTGATAATATTGGTCGCAAAAGCCTACTAATACTACGTGTTAAAACAACAACAAAATAAACCCTCTATTTGAAGGGGCTTCTTCTGCAGAGCTCTCCCTCTAGTGCAGTGGTTCTTAATCTTGTGGGGGTGCGAGACGTGGCCAGATTTTTTTAGAAGGTAAGTTAATAATTAATCGGAAACACAAATTAAGCACGGGCACGTACATACGAGTTATCTTCATCAAAACTAAAGAGAAAATTACCATTGACAACCAAAGACGTGCAAGGCTGCAATAAAGGTTAAGAACCACTGCTCTATTTAAGGGACACCACGGTGGCTAAATGTTAACTACCTCGCCTGGTGTGCAGGAGGTCGGGAATTCGATCCCGACAATGACGCCTGCTGCTGTATATTTAAAGTTTGCGTCTTTCTCTCTCTCATTGTCATCATCACGGTGGCTAGGAGATGTTAACTACCTCGCCTGGTATGCAGGAGGTCGGGGATTCGATCCCAACCCTGCCGCCTGCTGCTGTATATTTGTAGTTTATTTGTAGGATATTTGTAGTTTATTTGTAGTAGTTTGCGTCTCTCTCTCTCCCTGTGGTCGCGTGGAATTTTTATCTCCGGTTCTTACCGCCACGTTTAAGAAACACGCGTTGAGACTATTTATATGAATTATTTTGCTTCTATCAAATGTCCAAATAATGGGCCACTTTGTTGAGCTATTATCATTTGTGAACGTTAGAACGATATATTCTTGGTTCTTTCGGTCTAGTCACATATAAAAAAGTGGCGGTTTATTCTTAACACGTTAAGAAAAAGTGGCGGTTTATTCTTAACGTCTTAACGTGTTAAGAATAAACCGCCACTTTTTTCTTAACACGTTAAGGATAAACCGCCACTTTTTTCTACGTGACTTACCGAAAGAACCAACAATATATCGTTCTAACGTGCTAAGAATAAACCGCCACTTTATTCAAAAATATATTGCTGTGGTTTCACATCTGATGATGATTGCTTGTGTTGCAATCGAAACGTCGTGATTTATTTTATTGTTTTATTTTTTTTCCCCTTCTACGTGACTTTACCGAAAGAACCAAGAATATGAATCCCTGCAGTCACGAAAGCTTTAAATAGAAATATATGTTAACACCTCAGTGGTCTGGTAGAATGTTATTGGTATGCGTTTGGGTGATTTATTTACCTTTTTTCCGTACTTTGCACTACGATCATGTTTTTTTGTACCGTTTGTTGTTGTAACGTGCTTTACCCGCCACGAACAAAGACCGTTATAGTGCATCGGATTCCTCCGGTATAAACAAGTATGCCGATTGTGTAAGGGAGCTTGTGTGTATCAGCAAGCGCCTTCACCCCTTCGATCGCAACATCTGGGCCACGTTGGCATTGAAATTACGTCCAGTCTCTTGCCAATTTGAAGCTTTTCGTGATTTGTTTCCCTCCCATTGCTGTGGGTTTTCCCCACCTGATGATGATTGCTTGTGTTGCAATCGAAACGTCGTGATTTATTTTATACCTACGTGACTTTACCGAAATAACCAAAGATAAAGTCTCTTGCCAGATTAGAGGGAGTTGTTTTTTTCCACAACTGAATAATTTTAAAAATTGATTTATTTCGGAGAAATTCGATGAGCCATGAAGCTCTTTTTGTTTTTACAGAAAAAATATATAACTAAAAAGAAACCGATAGGCGTGCAAAGTTATAGGAAAGGGTAATCATTGCGTAATTGCGGTATATGCACTTAGTTTTACGAGGTTAAACGCGATCGTTTTACATGTTGGTTGCGTTATGTTCTATTAATTTAAACATTTTTTAAAAAATATCTCCGGGAAAGATTTAAAAAGTGGTTTCATTTACGTTACAATTCCTGGCTTCTCGCATAACGTACACTGCTACAGTATACACGGTACTGCACATATTTTACACGTTTTCTGGCTGTGGTGATTTTTGTCGTTTGCTTAACGCCAACATTTCCCTCGCAACATGAATACTTTTATCGTGACAAAACCCGTTACATTTTCGCAACAACAAAAAAGTTCGCAAAAAATGTATTTACCTCAGCCAGCGACAAATCACTGAAGAAGCAACGGACCACCCCCCCCCCGTTAACAACTGCGACACGTTACAAAACAAAGTGACTAAAACACACACACAAACACATCTTTCGTGAAAAAAGGACAATCGAGAAACCATTGCGTTGTTAAAACAAACGTATATATATTTTTTAAAAAATGAATTAATAACAAAAACCCCGCGTCTCACCATTGACAGATACACGTACGAGGCATAGAGCTCCTGGTTGATCTGGCGGTTGATGGCCGCCTCGCACTCCTCACTGAAATTCTGACGAACGAGCGACATTGCCGAGCGAGTTCGATCGTCTTTCTGCTCCTCGGGGGTGGTGGACAACGAGAGGCGACGAGCCAACGAAAGGACGATGCGAGAGGTGAAGACCACGGAAGGCGACAAGAAGATACACAACACGCCTCGTGCTGCTGCTGCCTCAGTGTGCAACGCTGCCCCGCTAGACTCTTCTGGAAGACGTCTTCCGTTTTAGGAAGGGACGCACGCTCCTCTTCCGGAAGACGTTTCGTCGTCGTACGAAACGTCTCCACATCCTCTTATTCTTCCGGAAGATAGATACACTTTTTATGGAAGACGTATGCCACTTTTTGGAAGATATATTCAATTTCTGGATGTTATATATATTTTTTTCTTGAAGAAGTAACCTCCTTTCCCCCCCTTACGGAAGAAATATTCCTTTTCTGGAAGTTAATATTCTCCCCTTCCGGAAGATATCTTTCCTTTCTTTCTGGAACATCCCACACTTGTGTAATGTTTGTAAATTTCGGGAAGATATCTTCCTTCTATGGAAGATATATTCCTCTTTTGGAAGATAAATTTCCCTTCTGGAAGATATCTTCCCATCCTTGAATGTTTCAATATTTTGTAGAAAATTCCTCTTCTGGAAGATATCTTCTGGAAGACTTATTGGGCTCTTGCTTAATCTGGATGTCCGTGTTTTTTTTCTACACGTTCTGCCTCTTCTGGAATAGTATTGCGCAATGCAGATCCACGTGCAGCAAGCACGTGCCCAATATTCTTGGTTCTTTGGGTAAAGCCACGTAGAAGGGAAACAATAAAATAATAAAAATATAAAACAATAAAATTCTCACGACGTTTCGACTGCAACACAAGCAATCATCATCAGGTGTAAAAACCACAACAAGAACATTTGAAAAAAGTGGCGGTTATTTTTAACGTTAGCACCACGGAGAGAGATTTGAAAGTTTGTTCAGATAGACGAGTCCATCCATGTTCGGAAAAGAGGAGGGGGGAGACGAAAAATAATGATGCGGTCTGAAAGCCACCTTAAGCGTGATCAATCAATTAAGACCCGAAATGGTTTATCAAATCCTACCAATGATTGCTAAGCCAGAATTTGATAAACTATTTCGGGTCTTAATTGATTGATCACGCTTAAGGTGGCTTTCAGACCGCACCGATTATTTTTCGTCTCCCCCCTCTTTTTCGAACATAGATGGACTCGTCCATCTGAACAAACTCTCCGTGGTGCTAACGTTAAAAATAACCGCCACTTTTTTCAAATTTTCTTGTGGTTTTCACACCTTATGATGATTGCTTGTGTTGCAGTCGAAACGTCGTGAGAATTTTGTTTTATATTTTTATTATTTTGTTTCCCTTACACGTGCCCAATGTCAATAAAGTTGTACAGATCCGGTCACTCACACAGCCACAGCTGGCAGATTTATGAGACGCACCCCCAAGGCTCGCTTTAAAAACACAGGGGTGGTGATGGGGTGACGTGCATCTTAAAATCCGTGGGAGGAATCTGAAGCCCACTCCGCCGTGTCCGAGGGGATGGAAACTCGAGCAGCTCAGCAGCACAGACGCCGTCACTCACGAACCCACTTGCTGTACTTGCCGCCACAACGCCGCAACCCAGCGAGACCGGGAGCGTCACAAATCTCTCTGCGGACCCACCAACCCCTGGCCTCTTCTTAAGGAGTTGGCGTGCTGCGGTAGTGGGCCACTCTTGTCTTCTTAACCTCGAACTAGTCCACAACAGCAGCCCGTGGGAGCAATGCTTGCCGGGCTCAACAACTTCCCGGAGTGGCCTTGTGTTTGACACGGATGTGTAAAAACACTTGCAAGTTGACTTAACGCTTTCGTGACTGCAGGAATTCATATTCTTTGGGTCTTTCAATAAAGTCACGTAGATAGGTTCAAAGAAAATAATACAAAATAACAAAAAAGCTACGTTTCGATCGCAACGCAAAAGGACGACCGCAACGCAAAAGGACGACCGCTTGTGTTGCGATCGAAACGTCGTAGTTTTTTGTTATTTTATTTGAACCTATCAACGTGAATTTACCGAAAGAACCAAAGAATACACACTTGCAAGTGTTGATGCGGCGGAACAGATATGAAGATATTGTCCGCTTGCTTATTTTGTCTGTTTTAAGTCAAAAGGCCTGTGTGTTAAACAATGTTTGTCATTAAAATGTCGATGCAAGCGCTCCGGTGTTAATGTCACTCCATCACAAATGACTATTCTGTCGTGAATTAACACTGCAAATGAATAAACCACAAACCTAATTTGCTCATTGAACAAGAAGAGCCACACAAAGCCCCAATACCTTATCAGGAGGGTCCTGTTACATCGGGATGTTTGGCCATCACCAATGACATTTGTACTAAAATTTGATTGAAAGCTTTCGTTACTGCAGGGATTCATAATCTTGGTTCTTTCGGTAAAGTCACGCAGAAGGGAAACAAAATAAAAATATAAAACAATAAAATTCTCACGTTTCGACTGCAACACAAGCAATCATCAGGTGTGAAAACCACAGCAAGAATATTTGAAAAAAAAGTGGCGTTTTTTTTCTTAACGTTAGCACCACAGACAGCGATTTGGCAGTTGTTCAGATGGACGAGTCCATCTATTACTCATCGTTTTTTTCGGTAAAGTCACGTATGTAGAAATACCATAAAATTATATTAAAATAAATCAATCACGACGTATCGACCGCAACACAAGCGATCTTCATCAAGTGTAAAAAACAAATAGCACATAGGGTGACATCAACGCAACACATAGCGAGCGTTAAACTGCAAGGAGGTAAATACAAGATGAGGCAAGTGTCTGTGTCGTTGGCCGACTGGTTTTGCATCACGTAAATTTTTCTTAAGTTTGTTGAATTCTCGTCTCTCATCTTCTTGTTGTATTTACCTCCGTGCAGTTTAACGCTCTCTATGTGTTGCGTTGATGTCACCCTATGTGCTATTTGTTTTTTTACACCTGATGAAGATCGCTTGTGTTGCGGTCGAAACATCGTAATTGATTTATTTTAATATAATTTAATGGTATTTCTACATACGTGACTTTACCGAACAAACCAATGAGTAATTTATGCAGTCACGAAAGCTTTAATTCTTTATTGAGTCCATCTATGTTCGGAAAAGAGGAGGGGGGGCATTTGTACCGTTTACAGCGACGAGAGGTAACCGGCGATTCCAGAGGAAATCCATGCAGAACAGGGGGAGAGAAAATACAAGCTCCACAGAGACAGGAGCCCGGGGCAGGAATTGAACGCGGGCATATTCCTTGCTGTGCGGCACAAGCAATTTCATTGCCACCGTGCTACCAACACCGGCAACCCTAAGACGCTAACTGAAGCAGACGCAATCAAAGTGGTTCGAGCTGGGAAAGTTTTTATTTGTATTTGGACAATTACTCACAGCTTAAACTGAGGGTGCACAAGCTTCATGCCACAAAGACTTTAATCACAACTGTACTTTAATAAACCGAGCACTTTAAACATCCTCGAGGGAAGACAAGCCAATAAAACACGTTTCTCTTGAATCGTCTGTTCCTAGGCTGCGCATTACAATGCTGGCTGACGCGAGTTTCAAGCTTAGTTAATGATAAAACAAGATCATTTAAAGTTCAAGGGCAGGCTTTCCATTTCGGCACTCGTACTACGACTTGCATTTGTTATGCGCCCGTAACGTGCACAAAGGTCTCGGGGCGCAGTTTTTTCTTTAGCCTAGGGGGAGACCACTGATGGCAGCTGTCCCTGTGCAATATAAGGTGGGCACAGCACTGACCAGTAGAGGGCGATGTTGCGATTAGGTTTTTTTTCTCTCCCAATTTAACAGTCATTTCACATTTTGTTTCCTTCAAATTTGGTCAACGGCACTGGCAGACGTGGCCTGCTCTTTTTGGAATAGCGTCACGGGGGACCTCTCGCGTCCACTGCAATGCAGAGACGTTGCGGAGCAGGATACACACCGCAGTATTAACCAGGGTGGCACCTGGGCTCCAGCCGCAAAGCCTCTGCAAAACAAGCGGTGAACGCGCCACCGCCCAGTCACGATGTCACTGCGCCTCACTTCGTAAATTACCCAGAGGTGGAGTCCCCAATGTCCTAGTTGCTACCCGACTGTTTGATAGAAGGCAATGCAAAAGCAAGCTGCATTGGCGAGTGCTCCGATATCGATTCACTTAAGCTCACTCTCCCCCCCCCCCGCGTTCATGTCGCTTCCTTGTAACCCTTTTATCGCCACGATCACAGTAATATTTAGCATGAGCTTCACGCCTTGATGACGACGACGATGACCAAGTGAATCTGCCGAAAGGGACCGTGTGAAAATGAGTGACAACATCTCCACCAGGCCACAGGACTTTCCCAATGGACGTCGGACGTACAGGAGGTTTGGCCACGCGTTTGCGCATGCGCGAAGCCGTGTCCCTGCGATGAAACTTGTGCACAGACAGTCGTGAAATGCGTGGCAGGCCTGGCGGTTCTCACGCACGCTCAGCAGGGCATGTTGTCCTGTTTGCGTTTCCTGCAAAACAAACACAAAATGAATGACGCCTCAATCCCAAATTTGTGTCCGCATGAAAAGCACATTTTATATACGGCAGTCCCTCAGGTTAACGGTGACATTGGTTAACGGTTTTTTCGGTGAACGTTTCGCCTTCCATAGGACCTAATGGTTTCGACTAACGTAAACATTTGATTAACGGTATGTTTACGTTAGGCACGCGGGCGCCAATTTTGGCCAATCCGAGCACTCGTAAGTGGGGCTGAGCCATGCCCTCAGCCAATCAGCGACGCCCGTTTGTGAGCGTTTAGACCTCGAATGGCTTTGTTTACATAACGTTTTCTGTTGTGGCAGTGGAAAAAACAGATCTCTTGCAGATTCAGTGATGATCACTTATTTCTCAACTTATAAGTGAATTCGATTAAAAGTTATTTCGGTTAACAGTAGTTTTCGTGCAACGGATTGCAAACGTTAACCCAGGGACTAGTCTATGTATAGAAAAAACATTTGAATATCCCATCAGCCGCGCGGCTTTCTGGGAGTGCATCTTATCAGCAGCATCTCAGTGGTGCTGCCTTGGGAGTCTGTCAACCTGGCCGAGCGGCAGCACATTCAACGGTTGTTGCAGAGTTATTTTGTCGTGGTGGAAAAGGAGCCCAGCCAGCAGCCAGTAGTACGACTATGATTATCGCTATGAT